TTGGTGTACTGTCCATGCTATGTGCATCTATTGCACGGAGTGCTAACTTTAGCATCCCTTCTCGATGTTGGCCTGCAATGAAAGAGAGCTAACTTCTACAGCTTCACAACATTTATGCTTCCAGATTTTTTCTTTTTATGCATTCCCAATAGCTGAAAAGAGATTACTTCTGGTGATAAGGTTATTAATGCATGCATTGTCTAGCAAAAAAGGTTTAACGTCTTTCATTCTGATACCCACAATAATTGTTTTCAACATTCTACCATTTATTTGATCATTTTTCTTCTGGTGAGGATTTTCACATGTTGGTGAATTTTCTGAACTCCAGGTTATCAGATATTTATATATCATATGTCAGAAATACAATATATTTCCAACAACTTTTGTGGGTCGTTTGTTAGATTTTTTTCAAACTCATCGCAAAATGAGCTCATACTTTTTTTTTTTAATTTCTGACTTTAATCTTTCAGCTTAAACTTACTCTCATATAAACTGTATGGGGGGGGGTTAATGTCACAAACAAGATGGGTTTACCAATCTGTAAAGGGTTAATAGAAATGCGATTAACCCACTACTTTTTTTAACTTTACAAATGTAACAAAAAGCAAGCAAACAAGAGAAATAACGATATGAAACAATATTTTGGTTCATCAATAAATATTTTTTTATATATAACCAATAGAAGGTACAAAATTGTATATTGAGAGTTGTTTAAATGGTTTCAAAGTTGTTTTTGTGTGGATTGAAGTGTTTATGAAGATATTATATGAAAGATTAAGAGTCAAGAAATTCTGTATATAAAAATAGTTAATATTGTCCTCGACTTACTGTTTTGTGTATGAAGTTGTCTCTCTTTGATTGAATGTATCACTTGATGTTTTCTGTTGAGTTTATGCAGTTGAGTGAATTTACTTTGCAAGCTGTGGAAATATTAAATAAATTTAACTTTAAACCTGGTAAAATATGTGACATGGATTCATGTGTCCAGCTGAGAAAATTCATAAGACTCACTGTCAAAGATGAATGATGTTTTGTATTTATTGATGTTTCAAGTTATGTGGGAGGCTACAAGAAATTTGGCGCAAATTTTGTATCAGCTTAGGATACACACTAAACCCATTCCTAGATGCATACATAGTTGAGAACATATGAAATTATGATTTTTTTTGTTTATTAGCCAATCAGAAAACGTTTTTAGTTACGTCTCATCAGGAGCTGATTTTAATGGGTTGTTGGGCTACTTGGATTGATTTGAACCACTTTTAATGGGTTTTAAACAAATGTAGAAGTCTGATTCTACAAACATAATGTTATGTTACTCTTACTATGATTACTAAGTAGTTAATAATACAGGGTAGGCTATCATGGAGCTTAAACAATGGCACATAGAATAAACATGAGTACAAGAGATAACAAGCTCCTGTAGTCTACAGTGTAAAATCAAATCTTACCTAAAGTGATTTCTTTGTTCTAAAGTACTGAACTTCTACTTGAAGGCCAAAAAATACTTTGGTGAAAAAATAAAAAAAATATCTTGTGTTATAAAGCTTAAAATAATCTTGTGAAAAAAGTTTGTGCATGGTTGAGGGGGTGAAAGTTTGTCCTTGTAAAAAATATTCAAGCACATCCACAAAAAAAAGGAAAAACAAAAGCAGATAAAATGTAAATCCAAAATTTTTATATTCCTGAAATACTTGTGGTGATTTACAAAAATTGTGTTTTATTATAGAGAGAATTTTCATACAACAAAAAATAGATGAGACATAGGAAGATTTCTTAATGACTCTCCTTAATACTTCAACTCGGACTGTTATGCTGACTGCTACTCATTGATATGTTCATCTTTTATTTATACCTGGCATGTGGATGTAGGAGTAGACTCATTAACACATACAGAAATTTAACAGAAAGGTTCTTAGCTCTATTTTAAAGTGTGTTATTTGAAGAGTACCAAATTTCTAATAACTTAATAACTATGCATGCTTAAAATCTGAAACTTTGCAGGTTAATAGTTTAATATGTTTTAAATGCTGTCTATATTTCTGAGATGAGGTATTGTAACTATTTACACTATTTGAACTTTTGTCTTCATCTTTATTATCATATTCACAACGTTTCTACCACTGTATGCTCTGGCCTTCTTCAGGTGATTGGAATTTTGAACCAAACCCTTTATTTCGTCCACCAGGGTAGATTGTTCTAGTTCCACATGCCATGTCTTTTTTGGATATTTCAGTTTCAGTTATTTCTGTTTAGTAACTCAATTCTGCAAGTTTTTGTCCAACTCTGCTGTGGCCAGATATCAAACTCACAACTCTTTGGGTGTAACAGAGAATTGGGTCAGCCTGATAAAAGACTCCGAGTTGGTTGTATATGGTGCTGTAAGCACCAAGAGCTGCGTCCTCTTCCATAATAGGCTGTTGTGAGAAGATCTTCTACTTAGAGTAGAACTAGTACTATTTGCATATGAATGGTAATAGGCAGGTATTAACTAATATTCAATGTGGGTCTGGGACTGAGATAGCTATATAACACCAGTGTTTTTCTCGGTTGAGAGAAGTGCTCCTGATGTGCGAACATGCAAATACCAGACAAGATGAACACACTGGGTCAAGTCACTTTTAACCAACACTTTAGAACACATGGCCCAGAGAATAAAAGCATTGGTTTTCTCATTCCATCCATAGAAAATTGGTTGGATGGTAATGAAGTCATTTTTCAAGATGATAATGCATCTTGTCGTGTAGGAATGGTCCATGTAAAGGTTCCATTCACAGAAGAAGATCTATTAACTGCCATTCAGGAAAGTTGGAACTACTTTGATAAAGAGCATTGCTTTGAATTAGTGAAATCCATGTCTCAAAAAATTATGTTTGGCATAAGAGCTTAAGAAGGAGTAATGTTATTTCAATGCAATTTCAGATTTTGGTGTGATATATTCTGTTTTCTGTTTAAATGCTTCCCTGATATACGACTATTTAAAGTTTCCCCATTTCATATATTTAAAAGATCACACTTCTTCTATGTGCTGTTTCCCCTTTAGGACATTGGCGATCATGTCTCTCCACAATTTCCTGTCCTTTGTAGCTCTTAATAAATTTTGTCTTTTTGTTAACTCTTCTAAACCCTGTTCTGCCATCCAGTTACTCAAACACACAAGGTAGGTTATGCTTTGTTTTACTTGGTGGATGAAATAAAGGGTTTGTTTCAAAAGAAGGCTGGAGTGTACAATGGCCAAAACATTGTGAATATGGCAGTGAAGATAAGGATAACAGGCCAAATAATGTAAACAGAAATTTCAACTATCTCTCTCTGATGTTAAGTATAAGTGTCTTTTTTTCCTTTTTCTCTAAAACTTCATCATTGCTCAAATTTTCAGTCCTTGATATTCTCAGCATCCTTCTGTAGAGCCACATTTCTGTTGCTACCATATTGGACGACTGATATTACATAACAGTTCAGTACTCTTATGTTTGTTTCTCACAAAATTTTCCTGTCTTAATACTTTGATCAGTTCCAACAGTTGGTATACTTTATCAAATAATGAGACTTCCGCTATTTAAAATCTCCCCTAGTCACTGCTTTTCTTCCATTTGTCTAAAAAGTATATATATTTTTTATTAATTGTGGTCTTTTCATTGCAATCTCAAACTTTAAAATGATGTTTGATTCAAAGAAGTGCTTCTTAGAAGGTGATTTTCTAAGTATAGCTTAGATGTGGCAGAAATTCAAAAGAAGGGCCACACAGTGAGGATCAAACTCACTACTCAGTCATAATTATTCTAGCAAAACAAGCTTGCTAAACATTTCACCATGCTGAAGTGTCCAAATGCTTCCTGTCCTGGGTAAGATGATAAACTACATCCGCATTCTGGGTAAGACAATAAACTACATCCAACAGTAAGGCCTCTGATTGGAAGGTTTTGAGGAACATAGAACTACCTTTTAATTGCTGGTGTTCCCAGGTTCACCCTGACTATGGGTAAATAGTTAACCCCCAAACTAGGGTGAAAACACTATGAAAGTGGAAAAATAGGTTTTAATACCAGCAATACATTTTTGTAAAAAGTTATTACCAGCAATGAATTTTTGAAGCAAAAAATTAATACCAGTAATACATTATTACTAGCAGCTTCATGTCTCGCACTTCTCGCCTGTGGAACTCCCTCCCCCTTTTCCTGTTTCCCTGATAGTTATAATCTCCAACTATTCAAATGTAATGTCAATTGACATCTCCAGATGCCTTGATCTATCCCCTATCCTTCTCTTCATCCTTTCCTCTATCACTCCTATTTGCTCTTGCTCCAACTCTCTGTAACCCCTTGCATGCTAGTGGCTTCCTGCCTTGCCTGGGGTAAAATGCTTAAAAAAAAAATACATTTCTGAAAAATAATATTACCAGCAATACATTTTTGAAAAAAAATATTACCATCAATAATAATCTTGTCAGCACCAAATTCCCCATTGAGGTTGATATGCCGTAAAACAAACCAAACCAAATGCTTCTTAGAACAAGATTAATAAAGAAATATCTGCTTCTAAATTTGTGTCTAATGACATAAGTTCTTATGTATCTCTAGTAGCATAAACTCTGCATCAATTCTCTTAAGAATTTGCTGCTCCCTTCATATTTATTCTAAATATTAAAAAATAATGCCAAGTGGCATGATGGTAAATCATTGCAGAGATACACCAAGTAAACCTTTACAAATAAATTGAGGAAAATATGAGTTTTTTAAAAATGTTTCTCAGTATAATTGGCAGGAAATATTTCAGGCGGCCATTAAGCTAAATTCAATGCTGACATTGTCAGACATTTTTAAATTTAATGATGATTAAGCTTTGGCTTACTCTCTAGGAAGAGGGAGAAAGAAAAGAGAACAATAAAGAATGAGTAAAAAAGAGTGAATAAAAAATGAAGAGAGAACAAATAAAAAGGAAAGGTAAAGGAAACTAAAAAAAAGAGAGAGAACAATTAACTCATGGTGAGTTAGACAAGTTTAAAAAGAAAAGAGAGGTTGAAAGATGCAGGAAAGAAAAAGATGGATAAAGAAAGAGAGGAAGAGAAAAATAAAAAGATAAATAAAGGAAGGTAAAGAAAAGAAATCAAAAAAAAGTAAGGGAGAGTAAGAGAAAAGGAAGAGAATAAAAAAAGAGAAGGAGAAAGGCAGATAAAGGAAAGCAAAGAAAATGAGAGAGGGAGAAAAGTGGTAAAAAAGAGAAAAGGAGAAACAGGGATTAAGAAAGGTCGAGAAAAAGAGGGAGAGAGAAATGTGGATAAAGGAAGGTAAAGAAAATGAAAGAGGGAGAAGGTGAAGAAAAAGCAAGAGCGAGAAAGGTGAAGGATGGAAGGTAAAGAAAGGGAAAGAGGGACAAAGGTGGTTAAAGGAAGATTGAGAAAGGGAGAAACATGGATAAAAGAAGGTGAAGAAAATGAGGAGAGATGGGCAAAGTGGATAAAGGAAGAGGAAGAAAGAAAGAAAAGGAGAAACATGGATAAAGGAAGGTGAAGAAAATGAAAAGAGAGGGACAAAGTGGATAAAGGAAGAGGAAGAAAGTGAGAAAAGGAGAAACATGGATAAAGGAAAGTGAAGAAAATGAGGCAAGAGAGACAAGGTGGATAAAGAAAGATGGAGAAAAAGAGATTTCCTTATAGTTGGTTCACATATTTTAATAATCTAGTAAATATTTAAATATGAATCAAAAATTGTTAATAAAATCATATTTATTTCTTTATAAATTGCTAAACGATAAATATTACATTGCATTAGTTCTAATTGTATTAGTTTTTAGAATGCTGCAAATATTAAATTATTCTTGTAAATAATCTAATAAATACATAAGTAGTGTTTAATATTTTTGTTGCAAGAACAAAAAAAAATGTGTAAATTTAATTTAATCTTGTGTTTAGGTTTTATTACAATTCTAATCATCGCTTTTTAAAAGGAACATTGCCAAGGAGTGAAGGTAGTTAAAATAATAGCAGTGTCAAGGGAAAAACCATCTTTTTAACACAGGGTTTTTTTCACAAAGTTTAAAGATTGCTAAATATTCATAGTGTTGTGAATGAAATTAACCTCTTTGGATTACTGCGCCCTAAGTAACAAAATCTCACTGCAGCAAGATTTTAGAATTATCACCCCCTGAGGATTTACAGGCAGTATGAGATTTGAAAGACTCAATCTCTTTCTCGGTGACTTTTCATAGCAAAAAGACGTATTCTTTTTGCTCCTGCAAAATGTGAGTAATCAAGTACAGACACTTAAATTTGCTTTGAACTTTTTACATTTCATTTTTCATCTTTTCGTTTTTAAAATGTCCTGACAATATATTTGTTAATATTTCTTTGTTCAAATTCTATGTCTTATTATTGTTTTGGATTTATACAAGTCCACCAAAATTATTAATGTATTAAATGTACCAGGAACTTATAATGTCTCATCAAAAGAAGACACACCCGCTACAACCTCCCTTTAATAGGATTTAGCATGTTTGTCTTACAAGATATTACATGTGAATTTGTTCCTTACTGGGTGCTCCATGACTGCAACCTGTACTGAAAATGGTTCTATCCCCAAAGTAGTCATGGTGTTTAAATTCAATCATATTTAAAAGAAAATACTCTTCATTGAATGGTGGTTAGCATACCTGTCTGGCAGAACATTCTGTGCAAATCTCTTCCTGGGTACTCTGTAAATGGAATCTTATGCCGTATTACCAAAAGCTACAGTCTATGAAATTCAGAAATTACTCCAAGAAACTTAAGTTGGTTCAGTCATTCTCCAAGGCTCACACAAAATGCTCAACTGTTTGTATTTAAATCATTTTCAAGTTACACAGTGTCAAGTCAAAGACATGATAGAATTTTGCTTTTCTTTTGGGAAAGGTATAAACCCATCTCTTCTTCCATCTTCTTTCTTCTCTTCTTAGTGATGAGTAAATAGCAGGTCAGACTTGAGTGGCAACCAGTCTAGGAGAAGGAAAATTCAAAACTATATGTAACGCTCTGTCCTGATGGCGTGTTGCCTTGATATGGTAGGATGGCTTTCATGCTCCAGCAACCCCCAAAGCTATGTGGTAGGGCTTTGGCTCTTGGTAGATCCAACCAAGCTCAACAGATCTGTTGGGTAGGAGCCAGACAAAAGATACACCCTGGCCATCAAGGTTGGGGGTTGTGCAGTAGGCTAACAACCTACTCACTTAAAAACTAGCTTGTTACAGAAACCACAACAATATCTTCAAACAACGAAATGGCCAAGGAAGAGTCTTCCAAAGTAGAGTGTATGACACGTGCTGGTGAAAATCTCCCAGGAAGCCAGTTTGCCAATATCTTTTCTGATGACTAAATCAACAACCAGGATAGGGGACATCAGAAACCTATACGAGGCCAGCAAAATAGCACAGGTTTGCAGAGAAATGCACAGGTACAACTTGAAGATCCTTGGACTGTGAGAGATAAGATGGAATAGAACTGGGAGAACAAGATTAGTGAGTGAAGATACCATCATCAGCTCAGGACATGAAGAAACCCTGTCCCACACACATGGAATAGTGTTGCTGATGACCCTTGAAGCAACGCAAGTTCTGCTGTCCTGGGAACCAGTATCATCACGATTCCTGACAGCAAGGTTCAACTCCAAAGGTAGAAAAGCCATCATCCTACAGTGCTATGCTCCAACAAATGCTGCAGGGATGGAAAATAAAGAGACTTTATACGAGCAAGTCCAAGCCATCATGGACAAAGTACCAAAAAGAGATCCGAAGATCCTTATGGGAGACATGAATGCAAAAGTGGGAGTAGCCAACAGAGAACTAATCATGGGCAGACATGGCATCGGACAACAGAATGAGAACGGCAAACTTTTCACAGAGTTCTGCACCTTCAATGACTTGATCATTGGAGGCACCATCTTTCCCCACAAGATCATCCACAAGACAACCTGGATTTCACCTGATGGAAAGACTGAGAACCAGATCAACCACATCACCATCAGCCAAAAATGAAGAAGGAGCTTGCATGATGTCAAGGTGAAGTGGGAAGCAAATGCAGCATCAGAGCACCACCTCATTGTTGCCGTCCTCAAGACCAAGGTGAGAACCTACAACAACTGGGCTGGAAGACCATCACACCAACATGAACAGTCTGAAAGAGAGGGAGGAAAAACAGAAGAATTCAAACTGGAACTGAAGAACAAGTTCAGCCTGCTTTCCCAGTTTCCAGAAGAAACAATAGAAGAACAGGGGCACGACCTGCAAGATACATGGAAGACAACATGCCAAACAGTCCTTGGGAGGAAAACAAGGAACCACAAGGAATAGTTGACAACAGAAGCATGGGCATTGATCACTGAGAGAAAAGACCAGATCAACCAGACCCAAGACCTAGAAGAGAAGCAGGAATTGCAAACACGCTACTGGGAGAAGAACCAGGAAGTGAAGAGAAGTGTGAGAAAAGACAAGAGAAACTTCATTGAGGACCTCACCCAGGAAGCAGAGACTGCAGTGGGCCAAGGAAACATGAAAAGGCAGTATGTAATCACAAGGTCTCTCTCTGGGGAAAAACAATAAACCCAGTCGCCCCGCCAAAGACCAAAATGGCACTACCATCTCAGGGGAAGAGGAACAGAGAGCAAGTTGGGTGGAATACTTCAAAGAAACACTCAACAGACCCACACAATCCATTCCACCAGACATTTCACCACCTACCAAACTCCTTGACATTAACACCCCCCCACCTGCCAAGAATGAGATCTCCAAAGTCATCAAGTCTCTTAAATCAGGCAAAGCAACAGACCCTGTCAGTATACCACTTGAATCACTCAAGGCAGACATCCAGACTTCAACTGATATGTTGCTCCTACTCCTGCACAAAATCTGAGAGCCTGAAGAATGGAAGAACGGTCACCTTGTGAAGTTGCCAAAGAATGGTGACCTGTCATCCTGCAAACAACTGGAGAGGCATTATGCTGCTGTCCATCCCAGGGAAAGTACTGACAAAAAATCGTCTTAGAGAGACTGAAGATGGCATTGGACAAGACACTTCAAGAAGAATAGGCAGACTTTCGACAAGACAGATCATGCACAGACCACATCACCACAATGTGCATCATCATCGAACAGTCCCTGGAATGGCAGACCCACATGTACTCAGACCGTTGACTTTCATAAAGCTTTTGATAGTGTCGACAGAGACGTCATCTGGAGAGTGATAGAGCACTATGACTTTCCACCAAGGTTCATCACCAGCATCCAACAACTGTATGAAGATGTCACTCATCAAGTCATTCATGACAGGAAGCTGATGGAACCATTCTCTGTGCAAACTGGTGTTCGTCAGGGATATCTGCTGTCACCAATGATTTTTGCTGCTGGTGATCGACTGGATAATGCGGCAGGCAAAGCAGGCTGGAGAACTGGTTTACAGTGGACCTGCATGAAGCAGCTGGAAGATCTGGACTACAGAGACAATATCAACCTCCTTTCTCACAAACAACAAGAGGTACAGGAGAGGCTGAGTCATGTTGCAGAAGAAGCAGAGAAGACTCGCCTCCAAATCAACATTGGGAAGACGGAAATGATAAGGGTAAACAACAGACAAGACCCAGTGCAACTACACCAAGAAGACATCAAGGAATTCAATAAGTTTGTCTACCTTGGAAGCATCATCAGTAAAGATTGGGGGACAGATGAAGACATTAAGTGCTGAATCAACAAAGCCTGACACACTTTCAACACTTTGCAGACAATCTGGAGATCAACTGCTCTCTCACTTTGCAACAAGATCTGGATCTTCAAAACCAATGTCAATTTGGTCCTACTTTACGTCTCAGAAACTTGGCAGGTAACCAAGACCAACACCCGTAAATTTCAGACATTTACCAACCAATGTCTCAGGAACATCCTCAATATCAGGTGGCTGGAAGTCATTTTCAGTGAACAACTGTGGGACAAGACCGGACAAGCCCCAATTGAGACTGACATCAAAAAACAAAAATGGGGATGGGTTGGCCTCACACTTCACAAGACTACTTCTAGTGTCACCAGGCAGGCCCTTGAATCCACAGGGGAAGTGAAAAGCAGGTCGACCAAAACAGACTTGGCGCAGAAGTGTTGACACAGTGGTGAGGGCATCTGGCACAACATGGGCTGAGCTGGATCATGTCCATTGGAGAGGGGTTGTTGCATCCCTATGTTCCCCAAGGCATCAAGAGGCATAGAAGTATGTAACACAAGTGAAGCACATAATATGCAGCTAAAGAGAGGATTATTCAATATTTGACTTGATGATCCCAATTACAGTTGACTCTTTTGGACAAAAAATCTTGATGAAATCTGCTGAAACAGATCAGAATTAAATATAAAAGAGAAAATGTTATGCAATGTTCGTTCATTAAAAATTTTATTATTGCAAATATTTTTCAAAAGTATTGATGGGACAAATGAAATTTCATGCAAAATATATGAAAGTATAATAAAAAAGAAGTTATTATTTCTGCAAAGGGGTTAGTAACATTAATTTTTATTTTACAATGATTTTCACAAGACCCAAGAGCCACTCAATGTAGTGGGAATATGTGAAGAAGATAATAGTCAATCCTAAACTTAAACATGTCCAGATAGTTGTGATCAAGGAAGCATCCTCTTGGGAGTATTTTATAATATAAGATTATTATAATAATGAGTCTAGAAGAAGGAAGATTTTTTTTTTTACAATGATGTTCACTCTGTACAAAGTCCAAGAGGATATGTGGGGAAGATAACAAGTAACCCAAAACTTGAACAGGTTAAGACTGTAGTGATTAGGGAATGGCAAATTAAAGAGAGAATTTGTTAATTATTTTTTCAATTTTTTCCTATAATAGAAAAAATAGTGCTTCTCAAGAAGAATTGATTTTGTATCCTTTTTCCTCAGGGACTTTCTTTGATAGAACTTCTTAATCTATAATGGTTTATATTAATTTCAATGTTTAAGGAAAAAAAAAAACAAGGATTGCAAATCAAACATACATATACACTAAAAATGACATTTATATAATAAGAAATAATGTCAGATTAAAATAGCCATTTCAAATTTTATATATATATATATATATATATATATATATATATATATATATATATATATATATATATATATATATATATGTGTGTGAAAAGTGTGTATATAAAAATAAATAAATATATATATATATATATATATATATATGCGCAGTACTTATTAGAAAGCGCTCAATATCAGAGATAGAGCCAACATATTTGGTTGGATTGATGTGAGTTTGTAACCCTGGGTTTCACGCTTTTGTGATCATCAGACAAAACTCACATCAATCCAACCAAATATATATATATATATATATATATATATATATGTTTCACTTTTAATAAAGCTTAATTAAAGATTGAGAGAAAGCAGACAAAAAAACAGAACTTTGTTATTTTCAACTTTGGATTGATTTTCAATTTTATGCTACCTCACTAGATAATGTTTATTCTTTAAGGTAGTATGATTAGGATTGTTATCGTTTTGTAATGTGAAGCGTTGACTTTGGACAAAAAAGTTTTTTAGCAGAAAGCTACATTTGATTGACAAGAATGTTGTGGTATTGATGCTGGTCCATGATTCCCTTGGTTTTGTACAAATTACCAACTCTTGCTGCTGAGTATACACCCCAAACATTGATTTTGTTTATTGAGTTTAACAGTGCACTTGGTAGTCACTGGAGTATTCGATTCAATGGGTGTACACCAAACACGTATTTGTCCTTCATATCTAAGAGTAAAGAGGCTCTCATCACTCCACATAAAATCTTTCCAATTAGTCCCATGTAAATGAGCTTTGCACCAAGCCAACCATGCCTGTCGATTTTTTTCCAGATACAAATGATTTCTTTTTTATGTATTTGGAAACAATGCCTTTTGCTTTAAGCCTGCATCTGACTGTTGTTGAAGAAACTACCAAACTAGCTGCTTTGGACACATCTTGTGCTGTTGTGAATCAATCTTTCTTGCATTAAAAAAACAAGTTTCTATCTTCCCTGTCGGTAATTTTTAGTGGTCGCTACGTCTATTATATGTTCCAGTTTGATTTCTTTTTTTGATTAACTTGCGGACATATGACTCACTTCAATTAGTCATATCAGATATCACTCTGTTCAACAGTTGAAGATCATGAAAAGTGGTGACTTGATCTTTCTTGAGGTTAGAGCAATGCTTAGACATGTTAATAATTGTAAATACAAATGTAATCAGCTTTATGTTTTGCTCATCATCATTTCTATGGATGCGTCCATTTTTTTTTGCCTTGTACTGTATATAGATACACACATACATGCTCATACCTTCAGTATTGAAACAGTGCTAATAAAAACAGAGCTGTATTGGCTTGATCATGCATTATGATGAAAGACCATCAAAATCTGAAGACCCTTCTGTTTGGCAATCTGGCTGCAGGGCAATACGACAGAGATACAAGACTAAAAATTGCTAAGAGTCTCAAAAGGATTCTTGTCTCCTGCAGTATTGACTACTACAAATGGGTAATTGACAAGCCCACTTAGTACCACAAGATTTTCAGGTTACTGCCCTGATTGAATCAAAATGCAGACTCAATGTGAAGGGGAGTGAGCATGGTAGTAAACTCTGACACCTGTCATTGCAAAACCATTTAGCTTATAACAGACATGGAACCTCACTCTCTTCTGCAACTTCATTTGCAAGCTAAAGGCATACATGTATATGTGTGTGCATTTGTTTTCATGTGCAATTTCATATTTACTTTTTTTTTCAATATTAATTTAATTCTTTTTGCTTGTTTTACTTTAAGTACATTGCTTTGCCATTATCCAAAATGGATACATATTCTTGGAATCAAATGACTGAATCAACAATAAATTTTTTAATCAGTTGGCATGCTCTAAATTTCACATACACACATGGACATATATCTTCTTCTATTTTAACTCTTTCTGATTTTAAGTATAAGCGTTTCTTTTTTTCTGATTTTTCTTAAACCTTTATTATTAGTCGCATGTTCAGTCCATAGTATTCACAGCATTTCTCTTACTTCAAGTCTCTTCTCATCTCTTCTTCAGTGAGATTGCTTAACATTCACTGTCATATACATTTCATAGCAGTTTAGCACTCTTTTTTTTTTCACTCACAAGGCTTGAATCAAGCCATGGTACTGTTTTCAAGCACTTTACAAAGGTGCTGCATGTTGGGATCATCATCTCCCAGATAACATCAAGACGTCAGCTTCCTGACAAATCAGCCATGGTGATATTCAAATCTGGATCATATAGTCAGAAATTGAATGTTCTAACCTCTCAGCCAGATATGGGTTGAACTTTGAACTTGTTTATATTATTTATTTTTATTTTATTTTTATTTATTTAGCCACACTGAAGAGCTGTGATACAGTGAAACAGTCTATCCGTGGATGAAAATATATATATATATAAAGTTATGGGAATGTTTTTTTTTTCCAAATACAGTCATAACATTGTGACTGTATTCATAGTTAATGTTAAATGTTATTGAGTGTTTATATTGATAGATGAAAGAGGATCAATAAGTAAATTACCTAACATAATTATGAACTAAATTTTCTGACTTTTGTAAAATATCAAATGGAGAAGTATTGGGTTAAGTGCATTGACAGAAAAAAAAATTGCTTCAAAAAATACAAATATTTGTTATATAAAATAATTGTATTTTCATAATTAGACCATATGTACAAGGAAAAGTAAAAATTATCTACACTCTTGTTTTAAGATATGTAATGGCAAAAGTGCAGATAATTTTTGACTTATTCTTGTATGTGTATATATATATATATATAGAGAGAGAGAGAGAGATGATATTAGTGGTTAATATACACACACACAGTTGTTAGAAGTAATACCTGATGACCCGGAATCCTTTAAAAAGGATTTTGGTGAAATAAATTATTGTAATGGTACCTTAAAGTGGTCTGTTTTTTCATTAAATATTAGCTCTGTATTCACATGGAGCTCTCAGAATTTCATCCTCCTTGGAATTACCCATTCGGTTTACCAAGTTCTTTGTAACTTAAATATATATATATATATATATATATATATATATATATATATAAAAAATATATATATATATATACATACATAAAAATTTCCAAGAGGATACAGTCCAGGTAGAACTCAATATCCAGGACAGAGTAAGAATATATATATATAATACACATGCTAAAAAGCCCCATCAATTTCTCCAAATCTAGCTGAACAAGTAGTTTAATGAAAATGTTTTTTATACTGTGCAGAGAACTGTAGGCATTTTTATTATATCAATTTTTTTTTTTTTATAGTAGACACTTTGTATTCAAAATAGATGGCCAATTTTTATTTATTAAACAAAATCTATTACATCTATCAGATTGCACATTTCAGAAATCTTAGCAAAGAAGATGTGTTTTCTAGCAGGGATCAAATTTGCATCCTCCTTTGACAGGGAAACCACCATTTGGTCCAGCATGCTTTACTGCTC